AGGACACCTTGAACCCCCCCCCCCCCATCCCCCACACACAAGTAATGTATCCACACAACTACAGAACCACAATATATGCACTCTCAGTCAACAGAGTGAGGACACCTTGAACCCCCCCCCCCCCTACACCCACACACACAAGTAATGTATCCACACAACTACAGAACCACAATATATGCACTCCCAGTCAACAGAGTGAGGACACCTTGAACCCCCTCCCCCCTACACACAAGTAATGTATCCACACAACTACAGAACCACAATATATGCACTCTCAGTCAACAGAGTGAAGACACCTTGAACCCCCCCCCCTACACACACACAAGTAATGTATCCACACAACTACAGAACCACAATATATGCACTCCCAGTCAACAGAGTGAGGACACCTTGAACCCCCTCCCCCACACACACACAACTACAAGGTGACAAGCTGATGTGACTACAGGCCAACATATTAACCTATATCTTCTACCAGGTATTTTGGCTTGCTGAATTAGTCATGAGATTGATTATGGTGTCAAACACTAGGTGTAAATCATAGACTTAGGGAGCCTTTTATTGATTTTTAATTTCTATACTGGTAAACAAGCTATAAATGAGCTGATTGAATCAGTAATTAGACAATTTTATAAATTGGTATCCTATAATTGCTGGGATATATAAACCTGTCTTCACACAACCAAAATAATTTTAAGTTTCTAACTTAATGCTTAAAATGTGCTATTTTTAAACCTCTGTAGTCTATTAGAGAAGATGGTGTCGTACAAAGAAACATAGTAAAAAACTCTCCTCCACTCCAAACCCTCTCTACTTCACAATGGTTCTACCTCACTAATTAAGTTAGCAGAAAACAAAGTCCATCAGTGAACCATACACAGGTCATGTTGTTGTTAGACCAAAACAGAACTAACCCAATTAGAATCTAGTGTTTCAGTAAAAACAACAGTCATGTATGTAATAGAAGCACAACATGGTCTACAGATAAATAAAGAAAGATACATTTCAATTACACACAAATATGCTGACTAGCATTGAGTGTCCCAGTATTACCTGACTTTGTATGTGAATGAATCATCCCTGCCATACCCCAAGCTAAATACCTGAGTTATCACAGGATGTTTATGTTAACTAGCATAAAAATACTCACAGTTCAAGAATAAGTATAACCTCTTGATTTGTCTCATACACATCATATAGGCTGATTATATTTTTGTGATTTAGCTGCCGTAAAATATTAATTTCTTTATGGATGTCCTCCATTTTGGCACCTTTTCTTCCTCCTCCTCGTCGTTTTCTGATATACTTTGCTGCATATGCATGATTTGTTTTTTTGTTTGTCACTTTACGCACTACAGCAAAATGACCACTTATGAAAAAGAAAAAAAATTAAAGAGTAAAATTTAAGAAAAATCATTTTTTAAAAGATTAATATTGCAAATACAACATAATTCTTACAAGTGTTTTTTTTTTATATTTGAAGTGATATGGCAACAATTATAATAGTAATACCAATAATGACATAAACTTTTTTTTAAATATAGAATATCTGTTTTTATTACATTGTGATTTCTGCAATATTGAAAATTTTCTGTTACACATAATTACACTAACAGTTCCATGTTTGGCTATTTAAAAACATGACATAGCAGATAGTGTCAGTGAATGACATGTTTTTAAATACAGTACAACAAATTCAAAAAACTTAACAGACCAAAACATAAGTGTTTAAGTAAAGCAAGTATTCATATGTAAAATCAGATATGACAGCCTAAAAAAAACTGCAGTCTATTTATAGTTTTTAATCTATCTAAAGAATATACATCTTCCTATACTTACAATAATCAATAAGTATCTTTTCAGAAATATATGCTTACATATTAAACTAAAATAAACTGAATTCAGTCTTATTAAACTTTAATCATCAGTGATAAGAAGTTATTTTTAACAGTGGGTACCTAAAAAATTTTAGTTCCAACTAGTCTATAAAACAAAATAAAATTATGTCTTTTTATTATGGAAACAACGTAGCCTTTACAAAGTTAATGTAGTTGGACATCTTGAAACAAAACTTTGATAATCTTAATGTGTTTTTCACTAAGACTTCAAATTTTAAAAAGGACTTTGGCTATTTGCTAAGCAAATATATTATCACAAGTAAATTTTTTCAGATATGCTTTATATTTTTACGTCAAACATTTAATCCGTTTTTTTTTCTTCAGTAAAATGTAAATTTAATTAATAGAAGAGTATTACCTGCCAATGTCTTCACCAATTTCATAGTTTTCCTCCAATGATTCTTTCTTGAAGGCGTAGCCATCCATTATTTATTTGAAAAATGTTTTCATTTAGCACCATTATAGGCCTATTTAATAAAATTGTGTGTAATTTCATATTAAAATAATGTTACAGCATCTACCACAACATAAAGTATAATAAAAATAAAACTTTTCAGAATAAAATATAAAATGTCATTCTAATGTTAGCATACTGCTGTGTATACCTTTAAGTATAGTAGCATTAATTAATGAATGTTTTAGTGGCTGACAAAATCTGTTAGGGCCTATAGTTTGATGGAACACTTTCTCAATTAACAGAAATTATCATATTAGTTGCCATTGTCCCCTTTTTTAATTTTCATGATTTAACTTTATTTAACCTATACACTTAAAAGTGCAAATCAATTGCTAGTACACAATGCTGGTTCTTGTCTTATTGCATATAGTGAAGTTATAGGGCAAGCAGATACACAGCAAATGCAAAAACAAATAGGCCTCCCCAAAGACTTTCAGTACTGGCCATGTTAAAGTGTTTTAATACCAATCACAATTAATATGGGTTCACCTGCATTTTAACTAAATAGAGAGGATTGGCGTAAAGTATTCAGCAATGAATATTTCCTTAACCAGTTATTATGCAATAATTAATTAAAGCCCCTATCAAGACTATTCCTAGCTTGAACATTTTTGTCTTTCACAGTACATGTGTAGGGTTTTTTCTTTTTTTTTTCTACTCAACAAATAATTTCGAGACTATTCTCAGTAGGGTCCAATGTTTTTTTTTGTCGGCCTAGATAAATATTCAATTTAACTAAGTGACTACTCGGAAAAGATCTTTTGCCCCAGCATCTCCATCTGGTCGGCAAAAGATAAGAAACTCAATAGTTCTGTGCATGTGCAGTGACCTTAATAGCTGCGGTTAGGGTTCTGCAGTTTGTTTGTAAACACAAGCATAGGCAGTACCATCAAAAACTTTGCCGCAAAGGAAGGCGTTAGTTTCTCTCCATTGAATTGCGCATGCATATCTTTTTTCATCTAGAATCGGCCTAAATTTAATTAGGCCTGTATTAGCCATACTTAATAGTTAATACATACTTAGTACAACTTACATATACTGCGCCCCGCCCCCCCCCCCCCTCCCGCCTATTACTTTTTAAAAATAATACTAGATTTTCTAGATCTAGATCTAGCTAGATTCTAGATTCTCTAGACTCTTAGATCTAGTCTAGCTACAGCTAGAATCTAGATCTAATCTAGAATCTAGATCTAGCTAGAGAGTAGATTGTGGCCTAGACTGGATCTAAATCTGGAGTCACTAGGAATCTGGTCTAGATCTAAAATCTTAGAGTCTAGGATGCGCTAGTCACTAGCCATGACTTAACTACTAACTAGATCTAGATCTAGTGATCTAGGGGCTAGGACTTTGATTTTTTTTGTTATTTAAATTTTAAAATATTTTTTAAGCCGCACTTGGCACTTACGACTGGCAAGCCTAAAAAGGCACTTTTGCAGTAAATGAATTGCTTAGATCTGAATCGAAATTTTGCTAACACATTTCTTCAATGAAAACGAAAATCTTTTCACTTCAAATTGTATCCGAGGAAATACTAATTTAGAAAAAAAAACATTTTAGCCTCGGTAGCTGACTCACTTCTGCCAGCGAACCGCAGCTTCTTAACTTCGGGAAGCTCTCCTGTGAGTGTTTTTAAATTGCTACAAAAGTTGACCTTAACCTTTGACCTACTCAAAAGTATACATTACAAAAGTTACCTTTAGGCCAGACCCTAACTTTAGGCCTACTGTGAGGCCAGTGTGAGTGTTGAGTGTTGGCCAAGTACTCCTAATAAATAGCCTAGTAAACACAATATTATCATTAATCCACTAACTAGATCTAGAGTGTAGATCTAGAATTTTTAGATTAGCGGTAACGCTCACACTGGGTTTACTTACAGTTTAGGCTAAATATTAAAATAAAAATATAAAAATAAATAACTTATTTTGAATTTTATGTTAAAATAAAAATATGTTTGTTAACATTTATCTAGGTCTAGTTAGATTCTAGATTTATAGATCTAATCTAGTCTAGATTAGATCTAGAAATCTAGATCTAGTTAACTTAAGTTAACATTAGTTAACAATGATTTCAATGAAAATAATATCTAGGGCTATAACTATAATTTAGATCTAGTTAGACTCTAAACTTAGACTAAACTAGATCTAGAGATCTAAAAAGAAAATAGATTCCTAAATTTTAGAGTGTATATATGTATAGATTCTAATTATAAATTAGATCTAGATTTTATTAAATTATTAGAATCTAGTAGGGCCAAATTTATTAGAATAAGAAAATAATCTAGGCCTAATCACTAATTTTTTTTAATGTTTGAAACAAATGTTAGCTGTTATTTCACTTTTTTGAAGACTTTTTATGAATTTCAATAACATAATTTAAAAAGAAATTGCTGTTTTAAAAAATGAAAATTGCTGTTTTGAAGGGGTGATAGGCTGAAGTGTGACTTAATTGGGGGGGGGGGGGGGGGTTCTGGCAAAAAAGGGGGAAGGGAGGTAAAAATCATTACAAAAAGTATAATTCACAACACACATAGTGATAATGGTATAAATAATCAAACCAAAGTAAAAATATTTCACACCAAAAAACATTTAACAAAGGTCATCTTTTGTTGTGTTTTTAAAATATGCTTAATCCATTTTAAGAACTCTTTACTAGGCTAATTTATTATTTGGCAAATTAGAAAGATATTCCTCATCTAACATCTATCTTACTTGGATATTCTCTTTAGCTTGCTTATAATTTCACTTGCAAAGCAAATTCAGCTGATTTCAACAATATGGTTTTAAAGGTTTTCGATAACTTACAGCAAGTTTGTAAAATCTTTTCTTCATTACTTATTCAATATAAATTAAAAAGGTGAGAAGCTGATAAGTTTGTATATTAATTTTGTAACATGTATCATAAGGGGTTGTGCATATTATGTATATTATAGTCAAACACCATGGGTATTACTATTAGAGTTGGTTTATCATTTGCATTGTAAGAATTACTACTTTTGATTTTATTTTTTAAATTACAAATTATTTCTGGTGTTCAAATTGTTGGATGGGTATATTGACAGATTTGTATCATATATTTTCCCAACACAATATCTATAAGACTTTGCAGCTGCTTTTAATAACATTGTTGCAAGTTAATTAGCTTTTTTCTCCACATGGTGTGATTCACATTTTTAAAAAAATCATTACATTTTTATAGTACCAAATTGTATTGTGAACTGTGTGATATAAATAAGCATTGGGATGTTTCTAACATTTTTATTTGTGTTATTTAATGTTATAAGGTATTTAAAGGAGGATTGAATGTTTCCTTTAATGGTACAATATTTTGAAATGTACATTGTCCCTAATAGGATAAATTATCACCTTCCTATTTATCCTTATTTTAGGCCCAACAGGAAATTATTACTCATAAAATGTGTTTTGTTTAGGTTTACCAACCCATGTAGGAAAATGTCAGTTGGTCGCGAATCAGATCACATCAGTAGAACCGCTGGCTGCAGAAGAGAGGAGGTGGTAATTATTGTTGTTTAGCTTAAACAGTAAGTGCACCGATAGCCCTTGAGTTCACTCCTAATCCTATCTACCATTTTATTTTCAGGAAGTTTCAACTGCTGAAGTTGTAGAGATACAAAGAATATCTGGAACAGTGAGATTATTGAAGCTTTATGTTTATGACTCCTTCACTTTTAAAGCAGGCCAGTGGTAATATTAAAATATAAAACACTTTTTTTTCTACTGATGGCCGTTTATATCTAAAATAGTCAATGATGTATTTATGGGCACAACCTCCCTTTTCTAATGACCCACTCTTGTCGTAGGTTATTTTACTATTCAAAAGAGATGACCACTTCATACTCTGTTGTATTAATGTCGCTGTAATACAATGGATGTAAAAATAACTCCACCATCATGTAAAAATCTTTAATCTGTTCTATGTAAATTGAGAAAAGCAACTAGTTTTTAACTACTAACAAGATACATTTCTTAAGCTGGTAATCATTGGCTGCGGTTTAATAAAAACATCTTTATATTTGCTTAATTGGTTTCTTAAACGATTTCTCAACATATAAGTCCTGCAGAAATCCTCCCAATTGGTGAAAAATCCCCCCCCCCCTCATTTTACAGAGAGGTGGAGAGCTTTTTACCTGTCACAGGCCATTAACACTGTAGCCTAAGCAGCATTAATTTTTCTACTGAGCAATCAATGTTGAAAATAGTTAAATCGATCTTTAAAGATGTGTCCCTATTTGCATAATTTTGACTGTAGAATTGAGTAATAGCTTTTTTTATTTAACAATTGTTCTACCCCTTTTTCATAATTAACAGATAAATGTGTGTTCACAGGGTGGATATGTTTATCCCTGGTATATCAGTTATTGGTGGATTTTCTATCTGCTCATCACCTCATCTCCTAGCAACAGAGAGAATTATCCACTTAGCTGTCAAATTTGCTGACCACCCTCCTGCATATTGGGTCCACAAAAAGGTATTTTTTTTAAATTCAGATAATCACTTGAGTCTTTCTACTTCAAGCAACAAATGTTAAATTGTAGATCATTTTATAATTTAAAGATAAAATAAATGTCTGGGGTATGTTGATCATTGAAGATTGGGGAAATCAACTTCATCTTTCCTAGAAGATATTGAAATGTGTGGTATAAAACTTTTGAAAGAGAAGAATCATTTCTCAAATTTCACATTAAAAAGAACGATTTTATATCCATTTTGCATTTATATTTACCTTCTATAGTGCAAAGTTGGTGACAAAGTCCAGCTGAGAGCAGGTGGAGATTTTTACTATGACCCTCCTGATGCTGCAAGTGGTCAAGATTTACTTCTGCTGGCAGGTGGCGTGGGCATCAACCCATTGTTTAGCATGTTGCAACATTTTCTTCACATCAACCCTGGTCAGAGCAGTCCAAGTGGAGACAATCCCAGCAGAAAAGCTGCCCTGTTATATAGTGCTCAAACCCCAGAGGAACTAATATTTAAGGTTGGTGACTTTAACATCAAATATTGGTCCAGAGGAACTTATATATTTAAGGTTGGTAATTTGAACATAAATATTGGTTGGTGATTTCAACAAAGTGAATAATTTTACTCACAAAGAAAACACTTAATAGCATCTTGTTTGTTTTATTATGTTAAACATTCTCTCCTGACTATTGAAACAATTCTAGTAACTTTTTGAAATCATGGTGTCACTGTAAGATGTATTGTAAAGTTTAGATATCTAATTTTTAACTTTTGCTGTATTTTTAATTGTTATACATATTCACTTTTACTAACAGCTTGTCTATGATCTGATCAAGGTTACGTATACATTGTTGTCAATTACAGGATGATTTGCTGAAGTTGTCTGAGAAAAAGCATGTGTTCATAAAGAAGTTCATTACCAGATGTGGACCACAGGAGATGAAGGGAAATGCCTGTAAGTTGATTCACATCAGGAATTCTCTACATCACTCATCACAGCAATAAGTTTCTATTTTAAAATACAGATTTCCTTTGTTTTCCTAAAAAATAATTCAGTTAAAAGGATACTACCTTTAGTATGAATTTTAGCAAACCAATTAGTTTTGTTTTTATTTTTAATGTTAAAAAAGCAGTTTGTAAGTTTAACTATCTTGTATCTCCAACTAAATGTTCTCATGTGATATATTTGTCATTTTTTCCAGTTTCAGCTAGTAGAATTCAACTAGAAGATATAAAAACTGCTTTAATACAGTTGGACAAACAGAAGTCTGATGTGTACATATGTGGACCTTACCCATTTATCCAAACCATGGAAGAATACTGTGTTAAGTTGGGCATTAACAATAGACAAATTCATTTTGAAAAGTGGTGGTAGTACAGTGTTGGTTAATGTGGTTGTATTTAATTCTGTGATATGGCAATATTGTGTTGGTGTATTAAATTATCAACATTAAACTGAAACCTTCACGTTAATCTTCATAATTTCAGTGGTGTATTTGTGCTGTTTTACTTATGGCGTTGAGGTTGTAGTTTTGAAAGTAAATCAGTTTTTTAAATACAGCTCTAGTCCACAGTTTACCAGGAACATAAGGCTGTACACACTATTTGGCTTCAGTCAATAAAGTTAGATTTTATAAAATGTGTTGGGTGTACTGTCTGTAAGAGGATTTAATTAAAACAAAAAGGGCTGGCATGCATACAAGTAGCCACATTAGGGAACAATTCAAACAGGACTACATCCTAGTACAACTAATTAACAAATGTGTTGGAAAACTTTCACCCAACAAATATTTACCATTAAAATTTAAAATGCCCTCAAGAAGATTAGATCATACAGAAGACCAAACAAAAATTTGTATTCAGACATTTATTTAGAGTGACAACAAAATTATGTCTCCACAACAAAAGAAAAAATGATGAGCTAAAATCTTGTGATGCATGTACAACTAAACTGAGATTTACAGTTTAAAAATAAAAATGTTTTACTTTAAAACTAAGGCTCTAATAATGTTGCTCAAAGCATTTGGTTTACTGCCTGCAACAATCTGTCAGAAACTCAAAAAAAAGAATAACATGTGGCTCTGAAGTAAAAACATTTTTTTAAATACTGAGCTGTTTGCCAGTGTGAACTATGTGCATTTAGCATGAATCTAAGGGTATTTATTTATAGATCAGACAATCAAGTTGAAATATTTACATTTCATTAAGATCATATTTTGCTTCCTTTTGCCAAACAGTGGGGAAAATATTGTTTCAATTTTCTGCAATTCATTGAAGCTGTTTTATTTCAAATTTCCTATTTTATTAGAGACTTGTTTAAAATAAGAACACTACCATTATTATTTAAAAGTGGAATTGTTATCATATATTTACAAAAGTAACATACACAAAAAAATAACTATAAAATATAATCCAACTCATAACGAAGGTATTGGTTCTTTGCATCATTGGGGATCCGAGGGTAAGATGGAATGAGGCCATCCTGTGCTCCTATGTACACTGTGTTATACACTTTCCAGTAGACATCTCGCACTTTTCTTGCAGGATGAAACAGGCCCTTGGAAGAAAAAAAATCATGTTATTCTACAATATAAATACAGGGTGTGGTAAGGCACTGAACCATCACTTCACCTAAGTGACCATAAAAATTCACCCTGCTAAAAATAAGGGGAAAGTATGTAACTGGGTAAAATGCTAATCTTATAAACTGTAGTCACAAAATGAAACAGCTTTATTTTTTATATACCAGTATGCACTGACATCTGTCTAAAAATGTACTTTAAGATAAAAAAAAATCCTTTTTCTGTCAAGCCTCACATACCTGCATGGCATACTGGAATACTTTAGATGGACCAATAGCAACTCTGAGGCCTTCAACAGCTCCCATAAATGCCTGGACAACATGAGGAGAATTTTCAAAGATGTTCGGCCACACATAGTTAAGTAAATGAATCAATGCATCCTCACAGCCAAACCCACAGACACCCAAAGCCATATGTTGAATTGCAGCCATTGCAGTCTGTCTGTGAACCAAATCTCTGAAAAAAATTCAATGGAAGGAAATACTAAAATTTATGGATTAAAGTACAAAATATCAAGTATCGTAACAAAATGTGCTTTGGCAGTAACTATGTTTAAAGTTTAATTTCTGCTTTTCTATTTATTTTACAAACTTCAAGAAAATGTAATATTTACAACGCTGTATTAGTGTAACTAAAAACAATTTACCTGTCCATCAAAGCATCTTCTAGCAACGGTGCAACAGGGTAAATGTAATCCTTTCCCATCTCTCCAATGTACTCAAACATAAAAGACAAAGATTTAAGGACACCGTTCTGCACATTAAGTTCTGGAACTCGATACTCATTCATCAATGCTGGCAATACTGTAAAAGGTGAACAAGTCTCAGCCACAATAGCTATGGCTACTGTTGTACAGACACGGTTCTGGCGTTCTTGGACTTTCAGATTGTTCAACAGAGTTGCTAAAACATCATGAGGTCTGTAAAAAAAAAAAAAAATACCTTTCAAATATTAGGCAAAGGTTTCTATTGGCAAAAACTTATATTATAAGAGCTATTATCTAGTGAATATAAAAGCTTGTTATTAAAAGTTGATTTGATTTTTCTAGTCAACGTCAAAACATTTTTACTGTTTCATATTTAAAAATATTTTGAATTTGACAAAATGAAGCAAATTATTTACCCAATAGCTTTAGCAATATATCCAAATGTGTTGACAGTTGCTCTCCTGATAGCCTTCTTGTGAGCCTTGAGCAACTCGAGTAGTTCAAAACAAATCCTCATCCATTCTCTGGCAGAGACAAACTCAGGTCCACGATCAGCAATACGACCAACCAAATCAATGCAGTTCTCCTGCACCTTTTCATGTCTGTTGATTTAAGAAAAACTCAAATTCACTGGCTTAGCAAAAATAGTAACATCTCTGAGATATTTTACAGTAATTTACAATGGTCAGTTGATTTATAAAAGTGCATATTACTGAACTTCAAAATTAATAAATTATTTTGTGTTGAAACATGTGAGGGATCTAAATTTTCACTTTCTTAAAGTTTCCAGTGAAAGTAAATGTCTTAAAATGCACATAAAAACAACCTTGCCAACAAATATCTTATCAAAATTTATCAAGATAATTTATATTAAGATGTCCTCCTATGTATAAAAATCATAGTGCAGGTCATTCAACGACAATTTACCTGTTTTTAAGAATTGGGGTAAGTCTGGGCAAGAGATCTTTAATTGGTGGGGTCATTTTTGTCATGCCTATCACATTGACAATAGCCTTCAAAGCACCAAGAATAGAACCCAGAACTTCTGGATACTCTTCACCAAGATACTCATACAACACAATACCAAGATGACCCATCAGTTTTTCCTGAAATAATGAGAACAATAAATGTTTCTGTGTAAATAAAGCTTCCTGGACCCAAAAAAATATATCTTTACTTACCTAACACGTAATGTAAGATAACCCAAAACCAAAAATTTAAAACATTTTATCCTTACAGACCGGGACACAAAAACTATTTTTTTATTTAAAAAAAAAATAATCCCAGAAAAGCAACAAAACGCATAATCTAATATTTCAAGAAAAAAAAAATTTAAATTCAAAACTTGTAGTGTTGCAACAAGAAAACTTAATGAAACTTATTAAAAAATCTGGATACTAATGATATTTTAGTTACCAAACACACATAAATGTACTGTACATAGCTCCAATGAATACACTAAAGAAAGTTCTTGGGCAACAGAGGGTGCTTAAGACCGCAAAAGGTTAAGGTAGCTAACGTTATTTTGAAATACACCTAAAATAAAATTTTTAGTACTTACTTCTTGACAAGTTTTCATCACAATAGCAATACGAGAGATTAAGTCAGCAGCTTGCTGTCTCACTTTGGCAGATTTGTTATTCAAACGCCACAAAATTGTACCACACATTTGGGGCAAGTATGGCTTAACACGTTTGCTGAGTGCATTTACAACTGTGCCAAATCCATTCAACATAACCACATCCTGGAAACAAATTTCACATTTTAAACTTAACTGTACAAAGAAGCTACAAGAACTTTTTTAACTGTAATTTTATGCTGTAATACCAAAATATATTTTACAAATGTTCATAATTTTTTTGTAACAAATGCAGATGGACATACCTCAGTTGTCTGTTCCTGAAAAGCATACAGGATACCATCAATAAGTTGTTCTTCAAGCCTTGAGTCAATGTCACTAGCTCCCAGATTGGACATGATCTTTTCTATTGTCTCCATCACCATCTTACGGTACTGCTCAGCTTCATCTTTCAAGTCATCCACCACTCTACCAATGATTTCTGCAGCCCCAACTTTATTGGCTATTTCAACTGTAGTGTCAACAAGCTAAAATACAAGACACACAGCACACTTTTACATCAGAGGTTAACAATAATGTTTGTAGCAGATCATATATGCAGCTTGCATAAAGAAATATGTTAAGTGAGTGACTATAGATGAATTCACAAAAAAACATATTACAAAAGGTTAATAAATCAATATACCTGTCTGTAATTGCGTCTGTCTAGAGCCATTCTCTGGTTCCAAAAGTTCTTAAAGAAAGGTGGCAAAATTTCATCCTTGATGTACTGAGATTCCACACCATCAGTAGCACAGCACTGCTTCACTACCTGTAATAAAAATACAAAGAGAGATTACCTTAGTGAGAAAAATAAGGATTTAAGGAACTTGATGTTCTTATGATTAGGTACAAATTCAAGAAAATACAAATGTGTTGTTACTGACCTTTAAGACAATTTTTTTCATTTCCTCATCAGGAGAAGGGAACTCTCTGATAAGAATCAACATGACTTCCCTTGTGTAGTAATTAGCATACTCAGCATCCATCAAAGGAATCAGATAACCAATGGCCTTCAAAAATGCAGCAAGACCCTAAGGAGGAAAGAATGCAATAGTAAGATCCAGTGAAACAAAAACTGTATAAGATGGCAACTCCTTACATCTTAACTGTAATATAAAAAAGTAAGCCTGGAGCTTTAATGGAGCTGGCTTTGTAAAAACATGTATATATGGATTGAATGTGCTCTATTTAAGAATGCCAAAATAACTTACTTTTCCTCTGTGCTGACGAATACCTTTCCAGAGAGGTTTAAGAACACTGTCAAAGGACTCAATACCATATGGAGTGGCAGCCTCTGCTAAAGCAGCAAGAGCCAAGGCAGTGATAGTTCGAACTTTCTGTTGTTCATCCACCAAACCTAGTGACAACAGTTGAAATTTAACCACGTGAGTTTTTTTATAACATATAGGCCTATAATACATTATCTCTAATTCCTCTCAATTTTCATTTTAAAATTTAATATTAAAAGTACAAAATAAAAAAACTTTTATCAATTTAAAAATAAAAATTAAACTAATCAACATACCATGCTCTATAATCTCCACCAAGCTCTTCAAGTGAGGTAAAATAGCACATCCCATCAAGATGGATATCTGTTGAACAATCTTTATTCCAGTATGACGAGCCTGCCATGATTTCTTGCTTTTACACACAGCTTTTAAGAAGGGGAGCAACGAGGGGATACCAAGAGCAGAAGCTACCACAGCAAAAGCACGAGCAGTTGTGTTTCTCACGTACTCATCCATGTTGTCAATGTCAGGACGCATAGTTGCAATCATCGTAGCTAGACCAGCAGCCTGTAAGAGTTAGAATAAGTAGTTTGACAATGTTTTGTAGTTTGACAATGTTTTGAAGCTTGCTGGGGTTAGAAATAAAACTATTAGATGTTTGTTTTAAATTTGAAGAGAAGTGAGGAAAATGGAGCATACCTTTGCCAGGTTAGAGATGATCTCTCTGCCCTCAACTCTTGCGTAATAGTCTTCATCAATAAGCAACGGTTCTATCACTACAAGGATTTTGTGAACGTATGGCCTGACAAGATCATCCAATTTGTACAATATTCTGTCAATAACTTTGACCAACAAGTGACGCTCCTGATCTTCTAGAGTGGGTGACATTAACAGAGGAAGAATCTGATTAAACAATGGACCAGCACCAAACTCACGAGCTTTGTCAGTTATTTGTCTCAAGGCAGCCTGAAAAAATAAATATTATAAATGTCATTATTCATTTGAAGTGTATGATATCAGCAGCTAAATTTAAAATATATTACTCCAGATAGTTTAAAAATAAAATAGCAAAAGTTTACCTTTCTCATTGGTGGTGTGCCGTTTTTAATCTTTAAAAGTAACTTCATTATTTTCCTTTCCTTTTGTTCTTCAGGGGACAGGGTTTCTTCATCAACATCAACCTTAAAAAAGTAGAAACTATATAATTTTCCAGAACTTTAATTAAACGGACAAATAAAACATGACTGACATCAGGTAAGCCTATTTTGTATATCCAATTCAATAAATTACAATTTATTTCAACAACAAATTCTAAAAAAAAAAAAGATATATTTAAAAGATGCATATCAAAATTTCCAAACCAGATGAACATATTAAATAAAACTAGTATTTTATGTTCAATTATCACAACATATAAAATGTGTTTTAATAGTAGACACATTTTTTTTTATCTCAGTGGGGATTATTTTTTACAAAGTAACAGATTTTTTTTAATATAAAGAGAAGCAATAAATTCTTTTTACCAAAAGTTTATCAAAATACTGCATATCATCTGGCTTCATCATAGGTAAATTTCCCTTGGGTTGCATGTCCACAATCATATCTTTACTACTCTTGTTGTCTGGTGTCTGCATTCTGAAGCCCATGGGTGTGCCCACCATTGGTGTTGGTGTTGCTAACAATTTACGAGCTGGTGTCCGAATGGGAACATAACCAGCTGGGGGAGGCAGAACCTGAAAATAGCAAAAATAAATTGTGATTTTTATCTGTGGGAAGCAGAACCAGAAAATAGCAAATATAAATTGTGATTTTAAACTGTATCCTTAAAATGCTGATAAACTGAATTGTTCAATCGTGCTAGCTAAGAAAAAAATATATAAACAAGAAATTTGAGCAACAGCAAAATAATGTAACCTTATATCCTGGAGGAAACATGCCCTCAAGCTCATCGTCAGACAGTGGACGATTTCTTTCATCAATTTCACGCTGCCAAGAAAAGGCCTGTAACTGTTCAGGGGTCATTGAAATCAAGTGTCCTGGGGTTGGTGTTGCCATGGCCATTGCTTTAGCCCCAGTGGGTGTAACTCCACTTGGTGTCATGCTCGGTGTCATACCACCTGGAGTCATGCTTGGAGTCATCTGACCTGGAGTCATGCTAGGAGTCATGGCTGAAGGTGTTGCAGCACTTGGAGTTTCATCCCACCGAGATCTACGTTTGCTGGCACCTGGTGTTGGTGTGCTCTCTATTAAGTCCCCACCTCTATCTGTTTTGGGTGTTTCTGCCCAACCACTTCCATGACTTGGGGTTTCTGTGATGTTAATATTAAACAGTATATTTATTTTAGTTAAAATATAATAATAATCTAACAAAAATCAAGGTTTAAAATTTACAAAGTAGTAAACAATATACAAACCTCTTTCTGTTTTAGGAGTTTCATCCCATCGATTTTTTCTAGCACTGGGTGTGGCTTTGTGACCTGGAGTTTCCTCCCCTCTTCCAGGAGTCACAGCACCAGGAGTTGCATGTCCAGGTGTGGCATCCCATGCACGAGAACTTGGAGTGGCACCTGGTGTTTCTGCTCCTGTTACAAAAAAAAAATATTTTTATATGAAAAAAGTCCCAGTTAAAACTAAAACATCACCTTAGAAAAAAAAAAAGATATTTACCTTTGGCTTTACCAGGGGTTTCATCCCAGCGACTGTTGGAAGGGGTGGTGGCTTCAGCAGCATCCCATGATGATGACTTCTTTTTAGATGGCGCTTCATCTCCTCCAGCTTGATCCCACCTGCGCCGCTTTGCTGTTTGCTTTTGTGCCTCAGAACCATTGACAACCCTCAAATCCCCTGCTTTAGCTTTCTCTTGCATCTGCTGTCTCAGCCCAGCCTAAGGTGAAACATTTATTTACATCTTAAACAACACACACACAAGAAACAATGGTTATATGCAAACTGTCATTTTTACTTTCCAGAAATTGAAGAGCTCAACTTATTATAAAGGGATAGTGTTTGAACTTTAAAAAAAAAAAAAAAAAATCTTGTAGTGTTACCTTGCTTCTATTTCTTAAATTTCTACATCTAAACTTAAAATTGTTCCAACAAATAATTTCAATTATTATCATTTGTAAGTTTCAAAGCCTTTCACTTATCAGTAACTTAAAATATATTTTTCGCAGTGTAACCAAAAACGTTAAATAAATTAGCCATCAGCTATCAGAGCTAAATTGTTCAATACTAAACTGTACTTGTGATTCAATACTATGAAGTGGCAAAAAGTTTGTATCAATAGCTACTTACTTGCTCTTTTTGAAGAGCTCTTTCAGCCATGACATCCTGATACGTTCTTCCTGCATGAAATGGATCTGGCGTCTTTCCACCTATAAGTAGAAAGCAGAATAGTCACGACAGGCGTGACATTAAAAATACATTAATATTTATAATCAAACTGGTTTCTTTTTGGTTTTTTTGTTAGACATCACATCATGAACAGTTTTGACTAACTGCCATAAGACTATGGCCAAATTTGAATAACCAAACCTGTTCACATTCTGAAAAATATGTTCACATTATGTTCAGTGAAAAATGTCTTTGGTGTATCAAAGGAGGTTTAAACCCTTTCTGATTTCATCAAATGAAGAAGCATATTTCCCAGTTATTAACTTTGTGTGATGCTAACATGTTCATGTTCTCTTAAATTTAGTTTTAGCAAGCACCAATCTTTTAGACCTAACCTACTAGGCTTGTTTTGACCAGCTCCAAGTGTTGGTAAAACAAGAAATGTTTTGCTTGCCAAAACTAAACAAACCCTTGACTACTTGTCTTATATATACGTACGCTTTCAGGTTGTTGAGCTCTGGGATTGATCAGACTGTAAACATATGAGGCAGCATCCCTAAAATTAGTCTATTATTAGTTTAGTGATGTAAGGACTATGACCTGGGCGATAACAGCACACAATCAACTTCCATATATTCTTTTAGTGTTTTGCGATTTTTTTTTTATAAACCCAAATATTGTCTTGAATCAGCTAATATTTTATATGACTCTGCATATAGATTTATATGCTTCCAGATTTTCTTATACTTAAAGTTGCATTTTTGTTTGTAAACTAATGACACTCTCACAAATTGCATACAAATGGAGTCAGAGTAAACCCATGAAGCTATGGTGAGCTTTCAGGCAATCACTTGATCAACATCGTCATTTGAACATGGCTAAGAAGGAAAGGTTGGACTGGTATTAGACGTGGTTTCAGGTAGTCAATAAAACATCACACTAAGTTTACAAACAACCATATAACTGTAAACAAAACTAAAATCAAGGGTTTTTGATGCATTTATACAAATAATTCATCTAGTTTCATGACTTGTAATGTATAAATGGTAGTCGGAAAATGCTCTTCATTGTTCAAATTTTGTTTGTTCATAATATATTTCAGTAGCTACAGGTTGGAAGTAGATGCCAGCTGAAGGAAGGTATCTAGAGTGGGAGAACCGTGCAGTCAAGAGATTGCAGAAAATGTTTGTGTTAACAAAAAGCTCGCATAGTCTGTGTTGGGGCTCCACTACTGTACATCAAAGTCTATATGGAAACTATATTCACATCAAACCATAATATCCAAAACAAAGAATGTATCTAAAAAACTAAGAAATCTATGTATTTATTTGAATAAGATACATTACCTTGAGCAAAAGGATCATATCTGTCAGGAGAAATTATCATATTCCTACGCCTTGCCCTATATTCATCCTCTCTGTCAGCAATTTTAGGAATTCTGTGTTCCGCCATAGGGTCAAAATCCTAAATGAGTTATAAATATTTTCTTTAAATTTAGCATTTCAGCGTCTAGGCATAAAAACAATCATAAATTTTATAATTTAATCAGAAAAATATTAGAACAGACCATGGGTCATATAAGAAATAAGGTCACACTTCCATTAGAGGGGGTGGGGGTAAGTACTTAATTTTGCAACTGTGCAATAAGTTGTATTAAAAACTGGTCAACATCATTACTTAATCTTGAGCCAGCTCAGTAATGTTTAAAATAAAATTCAAGTAGCAAAAATCTATTCTGCAAGGGGGGAGAAAATGTCATCAGAGCATGACATCAATTGTGGATGATCCCAAACTAATTATAAGACTGAATATTATTAAGGAATTCTAACCTGATCATTAGCAGTTTCATGAAGAAGGTTAAGTGGGGCTGTGTAGTTTGATTTTTTTTGATAAACTTGTGTGACATCATCATCATCCTAGAATTTTAAAAATAGTGTTAGTTCATAAATAACAAAATAGTACTAAAAATTAGTTAAGCTATTTCATCAAATTCTTTGTTCTTGTAGTATTGAATGTTATGAATGGCAATTTTCATCAGTGATCAGCAGCAAACATAACATGATAGATGATTGCTTAAAACTATTGTCCATACAGAAGTCAGTATCAAAAATGTGTAGGTCAAAGTATTATCCATGAAGAAAACAAATGTTATGCATTATTCAACATTTAACTCAATTCTATTTATATACTTATAAAGAAATGCAAAGTTACATAACTTCAATTTTTAAAAACTTACATCAACATCATCATTGGCTGCAATAGAAGTGACATATCCTCCATCATATCGACTGCCTCCATAAATATCTGTATCAAAATGTCCTTCAGAGCCTAATCCAACTCTTTCCTCTTCTTTATCCTTTAACAAGTTTTGTTTCTTAGCTTGTAAATTACGCACAGTCTCTTCAATCTCTACAAAAAATATAAATAGTGAGTCATTTTTTAGTAAATAAGTAAACTAGGAATAAAAGATTTTAATATTAACTTTAAGGTTGATGAATCTATATATATAAATCTCTTCATGGGGACCATACGAGACACGACGCAGCTTAGCCATTCCTACCCCGCTTTCTAGGTATATCGCTATTACCATCACCCCCACCTGTCAGGTGAGCTATGGTTCACCCGAATGTTTACAATAGTAGAGACAGTTCGAATAAGTGACAATTTGAAACTAAGGGGAGATAAGTTCTGCTTGATATTTTCATTGTCATCTGTAAACGGCTGCTTTAACTGGGCGGGGTGGGGGGGGGGAGGGGGTAGTGTCGAATTCACAAATTATGAATTGTTGATAAGTAGAAAATAAAACAACTAGATAGCTGCATATGCTACGTCGCAGGTCAGCTTGTTAATTACAATTAAATCTGGAATTTATTTTCTAGCTCTCCCAGATTTTTCCGTTTTTTGTGTCACAAACACACCTTTTTTAAATGTTTCTTCATATTTAGTCATTTAAAGAATCTACATCCATATAAAAGGTTTTAAAAAAAACAATGCTGTAGGCCTAGTTGAATTAGCAAGAAAATTATACAAAAAATTAGGTAACAGTTCACTATTTCTCAGTTGAATAATAATACTTTTGTATTTTAGCATTGGGACAAAGGTGGGAACAATAGTGTTAAAAATTTAGCTGGTATTTAGTTTTTAATGCAGAGACTTGATGAGTCATCAGAGAATAGGACCTACTGCTTCTTGAATAACATAACAACCAAAAACTGCCTATCTTTCTGGCAAAGAATGAAAGAGCATAATTTTTTTTTTATATTAGGTAAATGGGTGTTAAATTGAAAAGTGGATTTTTTCATAAATAAGCTAAAATAATTTTGATATTTTCATCTAAATGTCTGTCTAGTGAGGACCCCTGCCACTTTTTCAGCATAAACCAAAACTAACCAGAATCTGCTAGCAATTGTGGTCAGAGGTACTTTACTAATTTTGGATCTGCTACCAGATGACAGACTAGGTTTTTGAATAAACTATGTAGGAATCTAGCTTTTTTTTTTTTGTGGATTGCAAAATGGTTAGGCCTAACTCAAGTCTAAAAACTCTTAACTAAACAAACAAAAACAGGAGTTCAGTCAGTGGTGGTCCATTGCGACCTAAAAAAATAGGCCAATGCTAGCCGGAAAAAGATACGCATGCACAATGGAGAGAAACTACGACTTGCCATCACTGTGATGTTTTCGATGGTACTGCGCATGCTTGTGTTTATAACCGCAGAACCCGCCCTAACCCCAATCCTTTCCCTAACCCTAATCCTAGCCCTAAGTCACTGCAGATGCACAGAACTATCTTTTGCCGACTAGATCTCAGTGGAGACGGAGACGTTGAGGAGAAAATTCTTTTTCCGAATAGTCACTTCGAAAAAAACATGCAGAAGAATGAGGTTCAGGCTTAGGCCTATACATTTAAGTGCATAGATTATAGTTCTGGGCCCTAATGGATTTAATTTTTTTTTTGACACCAACAAGTAGCGAAGAAGACCATTTAAAAAATAATAGAACCAGCCCCCATCATAATGCCAGGCATCATTCCATGATGTAAAATTTTATAAAAATAAAAAAAAATGTTCAATGTTCGGCTTCGTGACTCTAGTTTTTACAGATCCATACGCAAAACCTCAACTGAATTTAATAGCTGTATGGTTTGTTTACTTCTAATAGTTTAAGAAGAAATGACTTTTATTAGCTGAATAATACTTAATTCTAGAATTTAACTTCGTTTTAGGTAGGCCCATGTAATTTACCTTCATGTGTTGTGGCAGCCATTTTTATATTTTAATGACGTCAGATATCCCACAATTCGGAGTACCCAAGTCGCTCTAACAAAATTGAACGGGAAAATACGTAAGTTTTTAACGAAATTAAAATTCTAGTTCCATTCATTTTGATTTTGTTAACTTTTAGGCCTAGTAATTCATTTTTTAAAATAGGACAAAAGTCGCGTGGTGTAAATAAAATAATATGGGTTACAGGTTAAATTCGTACAGCTTAAAATGTGTAACTTAAATTCTGTTTGCGTAAAATAATAATAGATGTCTATGCCAGGCGTACACTTTTTAAAAAAAAATGTATTATAAACTAATCTAACCTTAAATATGAAGATAATGGCAAAATAAACTAAAACTAAAAGCTGACAGATTTACATAAACAAAGAAAACTAAAAAATTACTAGACCTAGGTCACTCACATAACTATAATTATAATACTTTATTTAGGACAAACACCCGCCGCTGTTGTTCATGCAAAATACCAAAGACTACATGCATGTTGAATGAAGAGATATGCATGTTGTACAAATTTATTAATGATCTTAAGGGTGTCGTCCGTAAAAGACGGAACGTTGTTTGTTTGTTTGTTTATGTCATTTTTTATGGGTTTTTTGTGACGATTTTACCACAAATGTATGCAGAATACCGTATTTAAGCATTCGAAACGTCTTTTTTTTTTTCGCATCCCACCTATGAGGTTTACGACCGCCCTTTACCCCCCCCCCCCTCCTCTTTTTTTAAAATTATAGGTAGGCCTATATTTTTTTGTGATCTCTGAAGTTTTTTTTCCCGTTCTTCAGAGGCGTAGCTAGGGGAGGGCGGGGAGGGCGGCCGCCCCGGGCGCCGACCCTCGGGGGGCGCCAAAAGGGGTAGAAAATAATGTTAAAAGCTCATTTTAAGGTGCAGTTTTGAATTATATACAGTCAAAGTAAAGAAATGTAACGGCTGTGAGCCTTTACATACTGATTTAACTGTTTTCTACCTTGATTAAGTAACTGTAAAACGTATAACCTTAAGAAACAGTGACCGGAAAAACCGCTTTCCAGCTTCCTAGATGGGGGGGGGGGGGGCGCTTTTTCCAAGACTAAAATCGTAAAAATTCACACCGGAATGACTCAAAAAAAGAAACCTATTGTACTAAAGCGTATTGTGTAACATAAAAAAAAGAGTTAGTGACGTTTAAAATCCGCTCTCCCTTTTTTGTCCAAGATGGTGGTTGGGTGGGGGCGCTTTTTCACCAGCAAAAAACCGCAGGATTTTTACTGGATCGGTTGCTAGATAAATCTTTTGACACTTAGAAAAGAGATCAATTGAATTAACACTTAATGTACGATTTCACTACTTAGTTTTGCTAAGTAATAAAGCGACTAGTTCTTTGTAAGATTCTTACGATTCTCTCAACTTCAACGTAAGAGATTAGATACTTTTACTTGATTGCATTATATCTAACCTTGATCACTTCATTAAAGAGAACTAAATATCACGGATTCTTGTATCGCTATTCGTTCGATAAAATAGCAGACTGTCGAAGCGGGTGGGTGTATAGCGACACTCTTTGCCAAAATTTTAAGAGAAAAGAAAATTAGTATATTGTACTGAATAGATAATTTTTTATTCATTTTTAGCGCAATTTCCATTCTGGAGAATTGCGTTTATTAACCCGTCATTTCTGGATGTATGAATGTATGAATGAATGGATGGATGGATGTGTGTCCGCAGCTTTAAGTCGTATCTCCTCCTCAACGAAGCAATATCGAGGACTAGTTCCAAAAGCAATTATGTTAAGCAAGTTACGAGGATGAACATAGGCCATAAAAATTCCGGGTTTCTTTCATGGATTTCCCGGAAAAGCCAAAAAAAACTCGAAAAAATGCAGTTTTTGGCCCATATCTCGGCAACCAGACCACTTAGCGACTTGAAACATTTACCAATCGATTCCTGCCATAATTTAGAACAATATTGCCGAAGAAAAAAATATCCTTTCGTTCGGTCACAAATTTTTTTTTGAATTAATTAAAATTTGGACCGAATTAGTAG